TCCAAGGATAAGAGGAAATACGAAAGGTTTTCGAAGTTCAGCAAGGAACTTTTGATGAGACAATGGTGTTATCTTTTCTCAAACTTTCTTGAGGAATGGACTAGTAAAGAACTATGGATTCTATCTTTAAGATACTGTAAGGTGATTGATGTTCACATCTCAAGGAAGCTAGACAAGAAAGGAGGAAGATATGGCTTCGTCAAATTCCTAAATGTGAATAGTTCGTCAGATTTGGAGGAAAGGCTAAAGAGAGTATAGATTGACTCTTATAATCTCAAAGCAAAGTCCATTTGCTATGGATGGAAAGAAGGAGGATTGCTTCAGTTTGGAGAAGAAAGAGTTAAGCAAAGGGTGAGTAAGGGAAAGCACTACAAAACTAAGTGGGTGGTAAAGGAACCATTAAAAAAAGACAAAGCAGTTCAAATGTAGGAGAAAGAAAGGGCCAGATAGGTGGAGAACAAATTGAGAACATTTGTAGAAGTTCTAAAAGGAGTACCAATAAGAAACACTAGTAAAAAAAGGGAGAGTTTGGTTTCATGTGAAGAAGGAAAAAGTAAAAGGGCAAGTGAGGAGGTGAGTAGAACTGACACTATGCTAGAACTTGACATTGATGAAAAGGAGTATGAATGGCTTCAAGCTTGTGCTGTTGGCTATGTAAATTCAGAAGCAGGGATTTTGTCACTTCAGGATGCTTTTGAGATGGAAGGCTACTTCAACATAGCAATTGTGCCATTGGGAGGTAACATGGTTTTATTGAAGGGTGAGGATAACAAACTAATGAAAGATTTAGTAGACTTCAAACAAGGGTGGTTCAGTAGATGGTTTGAAAGAGTAAAAATGTGGTCCGTTTTTTATATTAGTCAAGAATGATTTGCCTGGTTAAAAGTTGTTGGGCTACCACTTCATGCATGGAACGAAACAGGTTTTCAATTAATTGGAAATCAATTTGGAATATATATAAATGCTGATGAAAATACTTTGAATAAACGATGCTTGGAAGCAGCAAGGATATGCATCAAGACCACTAAACAAGTGATAATATATGATTTGTTGATTACATGGATTAATGGCCATAAATTTACAATCGATATTTCAGAGGAGAGATGGAGAACTGATCCACTTTGGTGGCTGTGGGGGTATGAGAATAATGAGGCAGAAGAGTATAGTTTTGTTTCCAACATATCGAACTTTTTCTGCAAATCTGTTGATGTGTTCGGTGAAGAAGACGTCGGAGTTGAAGGTTTTAAGGTAGATAAAGGGCTTGTTTGGTACAACGGTTAAAATTCAGCGGATATCAGATAGCAGGTAGCGGATAGCAGTAGTGGGTGGCGGTTAACAGATAGCGGATAGCGGATAACGAAAAGTGGGTAGTGAATGGTAAATAGCAGATTCGATAAATATAACTGTTTGG